CAATCACTATGGGGCTTGATTCTATTTAGTTTCCCACTACTATTTGGATTTCTGTATGCAAATTAGCGTAATTGTCTAATGGGTGTAAGCCATCTTTCCAACATAGCTATAACAGAACTCTATATTATAGTATACATATACAACAAGTAGTTATTAAATTACATTTAATAAGTTCATCTAAAAAATGCATATGATGGGGCACCTGGGTGCTTTAGTCAGTTAAACATCAGACTCTTGATTTCAGCTTAGGTCATGATCTCACAGTTCATGAGATTGAGTCCCATATTGGGCTCTGCGCTGACAGTGCAGAAATAACCTTTAAAATAAATGCACATGGCACCAGTTGTTTTGTTTTGTTTTAAGTTCACTTATTTATTTTGGGAGAGAGACAGCTCAGGGGAGAAGCAGAGGGAGTGGGAAAGAGAATCCCAAGTAGGCTCTGTGCTGTCAGCGCAGACCCAACTCAGGGCTCAATCCCATGTCTCTGGGATCATGACCTGAGCCAAAATCAAGAGTTGGATGCTTAACTGACAGAGCCACCCATGCACCCTGACATGCCAGCTTTGAAGCATAACATATAAAGCTACACTTTACCAACTCCAGATATATAGAAACATCACTCCTCATGATATGAAAGTCCTCTCTACCATGACACATATAATGCATACCTAAGTGTAAAATGAATTTATCCCCTAATATTGATATTGATTTGATTTATTTATAATCACTTATCTTATAAAATTCATTATGTTCAATGTAGCATCTATTAAGAATCTAAAAATTTTTTCATGAATACTTCTATTAGATCATATACTAACTAAATTTTTTAAACAATGTTGGTAGGATTCTATTGTATATTTAATATATGTAATATATATTATTGAATCTTTAAAATTTTTTAAATTTAAAAGTGACACTTTCTTTTACTTTTTACTTCTTAAACTATACTTTTTTTCTTATTTTTACCTATCAATCTTATGGAAAAATAGTAACAGAAGCTACTGATCCTACTTGATATTCCCTAAGAACACTGAAATAAAATCTTTAGGAAGGTAGGAGAGAGAAAGAAATCCTCTAATTCTACTTCAGAAGTAATATAATGTATATGATAAGGATAAGTATAATCTATACCTCACTAACTTAAGAAAATGTTTCAACATTAATTCATTTTTGTATTGTAAAAAAATCCCTTTAATTTAGTGTAGCTTAATTTAAAATATAAGATTTTTCAGGTATTCTTCTTAAATTAAAAAAAATTAACCATAAAAAATATAGAAGTCATTCATTCTTTTCCCCTCTACCCCTTGGCACAATCCCTTATTTTATCCCCCACAGAAAGTCAGAAACGTGCTGGAGTCTGTGCCTTGATGTTTCAAACCCATCTCATTCTGGGGCCTTCTTCCCCCACCCAAGTACAAGAAATTGGCTCTTCTTTCTTCCTACTAGTTTTCCGCAGTTTCTTATAGTTTTTCAATTTCATCTTATGTAGAACGTTTTTAGTTATCTTTTCTTAATGTCCCATCATGGTTGTTTCAGCCAAATCTTCCGAGATGTTAACACCATTATTTGAGTGATTTAAAACTCATTCTCACTACTTTTCATTCTTTGCACTATTAACACCAGTACTGGCAATAGCTCTAAGTAGGTCTCAGCTTTCCCCCAAGTCCTATTTCTTATTCTATGTCACAGACTCACTTCTTCCCTTTGAAGTTAATTGACAGAAGAAAGGATCTGAGCTTTTAGAATCTCAAAAGGTATAAGAATGAAACTTTCTTGGAAATAATATAAGTAGTAGCATAAACATTTGGGGCCAGATGATATTCTTTCCTCCTCTGTGGGAAAGAAGTCATAGATATTAGCATCTCAGGAAGGTAAATATGTGGACCTTTTGAAATGCTGTATCAAAATATGCTTCAGTGTAGTTTAGTTAAACACATCTATGAGTGCCTATGCATGTACCAAATCCAGAGGCTTCAGAGATAAATGAATAGTTTTTACCCTAATGAGGCTTATAATTTAGTAATAGTAATAATGATAATTACTAATGTGTGTGTGTGTGTGTGTGTGTGTGTGTATATATATATATATAATATATATAAATATATATTTACATTGTACCAAATACTGCAGTAAATATTTTACATAGATTATGTTACTTAGTAGCTCTTAGCCACTAAAAGAGCCCACCTCTCTCAGAGTAGCATTTATGACATTACTGCCTACATTGATAACCTCAAAGCAATGATGATCACAGATACCAAATCTTATTTTTACATGTGTTTCTTTCTCATCCATTATATTCAAAATTTCTAATGTCATCTGTCTTTTGAGCCCTGTGTTGGTGGCTCCCCAGTATGAACTGAGTGGAGATTTTATATGGGGACACAGTATCCATGTCCCCATGAAAAGGTATTTCTACTACCTCCAAGAGAATGTTTCTTCCTCCTGTATAAATGAAGCCAAAACCCAGCTAGAAAGCATATATGGAAATATCTCAAGCTCATGGGAAAAACAATAATCCAAGCATGGCCCCTTCAGTCTCCTCCTTAACAAGCAAAGTGGAATTTGGGATTAGTCTATCTAGGGCTGCCTACTTGAGCTGACAACTAGAACCTTACAGGAACCTCAAATGCCTTGCAGTTTAAAAGGGGTAATGTTTGTTTTCTCCAGCAATGACTAAAAAGCCTGTGCGTGGGAAGAGTCTCTTTTCCCCTTTATTAGAAACTTGTCTTACTGAGGCCTCAGCCCAAGCTGAGGTCTATATACTTCAAAATCAAGCTAGAGCAGCCTAAACCCTCCAGCCCTGACCATTTGGCAAGGCTTCTATACAGCCATCTTCTCTGAGGCCAGTGAGACCACGATTTGCTTGCAAGGCTAAGAGCAGCTACTGTATGCTGAGAGCTCTTGTATGGCTAACATTTGGTTGGACCTCCCCTAATATCTTAGTCCTCTAAGGAACTATGCCTTTGCAGATTCTGTTGGCTAAGATAACGAACCAACTTTATAACAACCTGCATAATACACTAAATATCTAGGGCATTATTCAATAACTCCATGAAAACACACAGCCTTTCATCTTTAGACAGAGACACAATAAACTGTAATGATCACCAAGATGAAAATACCATGCGGTCAGTGCCTAAGGTCTTCAGCTTATACCCACGTCAACAGTTAAAAAACAATTACACAACTGGTAAAAAATAAAAAAATAAAAAAAGGAAGAAGCTGATCCACACATTAAACCACATGAACCACACTCCCCAATTATGTTCCATTTCTATTTCTTATCAACTTGGCTCTGTCTAGATTTCTGACATTCTCCTGAATTGAACCTCTCCATCCAAATAGCAAGACATTTCCACAGGGACAGGCATTCTCGCTAGATACTGGGAAAGCAGAGCTGAATATACGCTCTTTGGAGGCAGCCCAGCTCCTAAAGGGAAGGAGTGGGGGAGTGGGATGGGTGGCCTTCACATGCCAAATTCTCCTCCCAAAAGCTTGGACACAAAATAGGAGTGTTACAGTAAAGGGATTTCCAGCACATACAGGCAAATTAGTAATGAGTAATTTCTCCCATCATTATTATTACATGCCAGAAAAACCTTATTATATTGAATACATTCTGTAACTGACTTGAAAACATCTGACTTATAAAATAATTTGCAAGAAATTATTGCTACTTCTGAAAATATGATTTGATAAATTAGAGGATTCTTTTGATAGGTAGATCAGGCTACCTATTGTATTTACAAATTGGTGTTTATTAAAAAAAATTTTCTGCTCAAATTATTCTCCACTGATACTTAATGACTTACAAAGCACTTACTTTATTGTTTAAAAATGTAAATTCACAAATTACCTATATTTAAATTGATGACTTTTTACCATATACTTACAGGCTTCCAATTATGGAATGAATAAGTCATGGGAATAAAAGGCACAGCATAAGGAATACAGTCAATACTGTAATAACAATATAACAGTACCGATGGTAGCTACACAGCATAACATAAAAACTTGACAAATCACTAAGTTGTACACCTAAAACTAATGTAACATTGTGTGTCAACTATACTCAAATAAAATAAGTAAATAATAAATAAAAATAAGTTAAAAATAATTACAGAACTACCAACTCCATAGAGTACTATATCCTTATATACAATGATACAGGTCCTTGTAGCAAATGATAACGGATAGAGAATTAAATAAAATTGCACTGCAGACAGTTGTTGGGAAGCTCCCACATTTCTCCTCATGGTGACCCTCTCCTCTCGTCTAGTTCCTTGGCCTCCATGATCCCTCCTCAACATATGTTTATCAAGTATCCACTATGCATTAGACAAATTGTGTTCCCTACATTGCCCAGGTGCCCAGTGGGGCACTGCTGGGTACCATTCTTTAGATCACTGTCTCTTTCCTTCTCACGACTAACTGTCAGGAAGAATCTCATTATCTAATTCATAATGACATACTACTTATTTTGAATAGGTTAACATACTGCTCAGTACTAGAGTTTTCACATCTCATACGTAAATATGCCTTAACCCAAAGGGATAAATTTGCATCTGTATCCAGTGAGAGGTAACTTTTCTTAAGATGCCTTTCTAGTTTTCCTCAAACCAAAAGCCACTTTCAAACCAATACAGCCACCTACTCTTGAGATAGAATGCTACTTGCTGTACTGTGCTATGCTTTCCTAGATACTAAGGGAAACACAGGTTCATGTGGCAATATATTGCCTATTGCATTTATACTGGCCCATATGTTATTATCTCTGCACTACAGAATTGTGACAAATCCATTGTAGAAGCTGGAAACAAATAAATTGATGAGGTTTTCAAACTGCTTTAAAATTATTCCAGGATGTTCCTAACTTCATTCATTATGTACAAATTTGTGGTAGTTGTTCTGTACATAAAATATAACCGATTCATTGAGAGCTTATCCTGAAATGTTTAAAATGAATATTATATGACGTTTGTGTTTCTTTGAACTAGAAGCGGAAGCTAATTTTATGCTGAAAATTCATCCTCTGAAGAAATACCCTGTGGATCTTTATTACCTGGTTGATGTCTCAGCATCAATGCACAATAATATTGAAAAATTAAATTCCGTTGGAAATGATTTATCTAGAAAAATGTCATATTTCTCCCGTGACTTCCGCCTTGGATTTGGCTCATATGTTGATAAAACAGTTTCACCATACATTAGCATCCACCCAGAAAGGATTCATAATCAATGCAGGTATCTAGAGGTTGATGTGAATTTCACAATGCCAAATTAATTTTTTTCTTAGAAAATCTATTTGTTTTTATATAAATGACTTACTAAATTTTATATTTGTTTTATTAAGTGAGAAATGAAAATATTTGGAGAGGAAGTATGTTTTTATCTGAAAACTTATGAGCTTATAACTTGGACTTCTTGTTTTATGTTTCTTCAAATATGATTCAGTTTTATCACGAAAAAAACCCCTACAAATAATATTAGTAATTTTAGAAAAAACCCCAATATTCAGGCTACTATGTATAGCAATACCTGTTTGAGAATCCTGTTTTTGTCCTTTTTGATTGCTCCAAGTTTGTTAAATGAAGGTTGGTCAAATTTAAAGTGCTTACATTGCCAGTACTGCAACTGTCTTTCCTTTACTGTGTTGTGACTAGGTTTGTAATTTTGTTGTTTAAGATGTGACTTCAAAGAAAGCTCTGCTGAAAGAGCCTCTTTTCTTATCATTTTGAAACTCTGATTCTAAATAGCATATGCTCCACTATGAAACAAGAACTAACCTTAAAAATAAAAGTTTCTCACACAGTATCCTAATTATCCTGTCGAGTTCTGAGACAGAAATGTGTTCAGTTCTTCGTTAATATAACATTTCATTTTAACATCTTTCCTATTTCCATAATCTGCCCAGATCACTTTAGAGTGTACACTCTAATCTGCCCAAACAACTCTGCTAACTGTTGTAATGGATGCATCTCCTCATGGAGCTGTGTGCACCTTCTCCTGAACGTGCATGTGCCTGAGAAATTGTTCGCACTTTTGGGGACATCATGGGATTCTCAAAACAATTTTAATAAACTTTCATGATTCGTTGATGCTTTCACCCCAATTATCACTTTAAAAACTAGCATAATATTTTAAATATCAAACAATGGTATAATATTTTCACGAAGTTCCTAAAAAACATTTCCCAAAAAGTGTTTTTCAACTATTCCATGGTCAAATATGATAGGAAAGCACTGCAAATTCTTATCTCCTCTTAAAAACTAGCCATGCATATTAGCATAATAAAAGCTCTGTAGGTGTCCTATATTGAACACGGTTAGTCTTTAGTTTTTGGGTACCAAACCATTATATTCCTATTTCCTACTTGCAAAGAAATATCCAACAGTATTGAACTTTTCTGTGATTTTATAAAGTACTGCTTTTCTCTAATAAAAGTTCCTTGGCAAAAAAATTATTCTATGTTCTTTTTTTTACACCAAACCACACAATTTTACTGTGAGTAGTATTTTGGATCTTTGAATGAAGCATAGCAAAATAGAATTTGCATTTCTTCTTTTTTTACACAGCGACTACAATTTAGACTGTATGCCTCCCCATGGATACATCCATGTGCTATCTTTGACAGAGAACATTACTGAGTTTGAAAAAGCAGTTCACAGACAAAAGATCTCCGGAAATATAGATACACCTGAAGGAGGTTTTGATGCCATGCTTCAGGCAGCTGTCTGTGAGGTAAGAAGTTTCATATCATTTTGCTCAGATACAAAATTCCCCAAGAATTTAAGATTTTTTTTTCCCTCTTTGGTGTATAGAGTCAAACATAATATAGAAGAATACATTCTCTGACTCTTACTTGTCACCAGTGTTATTCATTTTGGTATGTGTTCAGGATAGAGGGGCTAAATTGGGAGAGGGAATAATAGGGAATAAATAGGAAAATATAAAAGGGAAAGAATAACTTACGCACTTGGAAAATCCTTTCCAAAAGGGCTACTCTTTTTCACTTACCACTTTCCAAAGAAGAGCCCGAAATAGCCTGTTTTCCTACTCACATTGTGTTGGTGCTCTGCACTTTGTAGCCCTGGCTTGTTCTTCCTCTGGGGCAGCGCCAGAAATCTCTAGCTGTGAGATGTGCAGTCAAATGGCTATGGTAAAATAGAGGGTATACAAATAAAAGTTAGTGCTATTTAGGAAACAGCATTGTATTTACACACATCATTCTAGCCTGACATAATGTTTGTTAAATTCCCAACTTTACATTTCTTGAGATCGAGACCACAGTACAGATCTATGGTATGGTACAAGATCTAATTACATGTTTATTTTAAGAGTCATATTGGATGGCGAAAAGAAGCTAAAAGATTGCTGCTGGTGATGACAGATCAGACATCTCATCTTGCTCTTGACAGCAAATTGGCAGGCATAGTGGTGCCAAATGATGGAAACTGCCATCTGAAAAACAACATCTACGTCAGATCTACAAGCATGGTAACATAGCAATAGATTCTTAGTAGTTATGATTCTTTTGGCCAAGATATAGGTTTAAACTGACAATTCACCTGTTCTTGTACCAAGAAATTACCTGAATGGGCATGATCCAGAGTTAGGATACACCATGAGAGAAAAGTTATGTAATAATGCAATCGGTAAATGCTGATTGATATATTAAGACTAAAACACTTTAACAACATCTAGTAGCTGACTCTCTGATATACTAAAAAGCACCGTATAATTTGTAAAAAGGAAAGTGATATAGGAGCTTACTGTGTATGGAATTAAAGAACATTAAAAGGAAACATATGTGTGTATATGTATGTGTGTGTGTATATATATATATATGTGTGTGTGTATATATATATATATATATATATATATATATACACACACACATATATATGTATACACTTTTTGCTTTATATTAAAAACAACTGGATCTGCATAGTTGGTATCTAAAAACAATATTAAGGATTGGTAAGAAAAGTGTATTTGGCCTGAAGAATCCTCACAGTATAATAGGGAGAACTAAATACAGAGTAAGAAAAAAACGAGTAAAACAAGGTTGGCTTTCAATATTCTGGACCTCACACCTTCCCTCTGAAGCTTATCTATATTTAGGGGATCTTTTTTTTAAATCAGTGGATAACTGGATTGCTTCCTGAGGATTAGCTTCAGCTCTGAATCATATACTTAATACAGTCTCCTAGAACCACATCTTTCCCAGCATTAGCTACTCTACATGTGGAAAATCAACTGTATGAAGCATCATTTATTTCTGATGCAAACTTATTTATACACAATGTTAGAACAAAGCTTCCAACTTACTCAGATCTTGGTATCCCAGTGTCTACATATTTTTTCCCCTGGTTTTATAGGAAAAAAAATCCGACAGTTCTGTTCATTAAGTAGTTAGATCCAAAAAACTTAACTATTTATGTCCTAAGAACATAGTAGCCAATTAAAAATAATGTACATGAATCATCAAAAAATACATGTGTGTATACCTATGTCATTCGTAGTAATGAACTTAAGAATAGAAATTTGCCAAGCCTCAGAATCAGACTAGACATCACCACCCTCATTTCCTGTTCCACATTGATTTTCATGCTGCCCAGTTTTGAAAGATATGATATCATCTAAAGGAACAAAGCCAAATGTAATCTTAAAAACACAAACTACCTCCAGCTAGTAGTTCATGGCTACCTGACAGATGTCAAATTATCACCTTGAAATTTAACGATATTCCAAGGCGCTCTGGTAAGTGTACCGTAGTGCTCCAAGGTACCTCATCCTCAAACACACTTTGGGAATTTCAATATTGGAAGCATATAAGTTATGTAGAAATTTGTGTGGTTCCATGAGTCAAATTTAAATAGTTTAAATTTAGTTAATCTGGAGCATCTTACCAGACTTACTAAATATCTAGAGGAGCAAGTATTACTGCATAGAATAAGTTCATCCCTTGGTTGGTTTAGCCCTCGATAGCAGCCTCAAAATTTAAAGATTTTAAAAGGTAACTAGAGTTTGAATTTTAAAATTGGGGATTTGGAATTATTCCAATAATGTCTTTCCCTTTTCTAATTCTCTTCTATTCAGTCACATTTCACTTTGGTAGACCCACCCATTTTAATTTAGTCATTTCTTATCTTTCCTTCCTTCTATTTAACCTTTTTAAATCTGAGATAGAGTTCTAATTATTTACCAGGGAGTGGAGGAGGAGACAAGAGTAACTATTCTATTGTGAGCCAAGGAGAAGCATTTTTTTAAAGAAAAAATAATAATCACATTATTCTCAAATTGCATTGCATTATCCTTTTGAATTTTTGCCAAGTCACTGAAGTCATGTCTTTATAATTATATTTAGAGGGTGCTGCTGTCCATCTTGGAAAGATTCCTTAAGGCAAAGAAATGCTCTCATAATTTTAGACATATACCATGCCATATAACCTTATGGAAATTAATTATAATTCTGGTGGAATTTTGCACTGTGTTTGGGCTCTTATTACATCAGGAATTTGGATAATCTGTCATCAACTGCATTTGCCTTCTTGAACTTTGTTCCACCTACTTAACAGAATGAAACTTCCACATGTCACTGATGTGTATTGAGTAAACCAAGGAGCAGTGTGTTTGTTAATACCTTAGAAGAATATATTTATCTCATTTATCCCAGGTCTTTGTTTTAAGGGATCTTCTTCCTAAGAGTTCTCATTCCCTTCATTTCCAGGGACACTGCCCTAAAACAAAAGAAGTTGAAGCATATTGATTGATCCCTCGACTATGCATTTATATCTGCAAGATGTGCTACTGCTCTGAACCTTCCTATATCCAAAGCTACCCTGAACCTGACTCTAAGCAGATTTACCTGCTTATTTTAAAATGATCTCCATCTCTCTCCTATTTGGCCATTATAGAGGAAATTAAAAAGGTATAAGTTAGACAAGCAATTAAACACTTCACTTACTGGCTCTACCTCCAGTGGCCAACACCAGCAATGTTGAATGGTATCTGGGCTTCTTGGTCTAAGACTCTGGTTGTTTTATTTATAAAAGGAAATAACTGATAAAAGACCTTTTATATGACTAAATAACATGGGCCAGAGTTCTGCTACTTGTACATATAGCTATTTCATGAGGGTCAATGTGACTTCCAAAATAACAACAACTACCATGTTTGGGGTATTTATTAACTGAAACCACTATAGCAAACACTGCATACAGCATCGAATTTATCTTTACAGCAACTGTAGAGTAGTCATAATTAGCCTTTTTTTTTTTTTTAACAAACAGAAAAACTGAGGGTAGAAGTACTTAAGTAAGTTGACTAAGGACAGACAGCTAAGAAGTTTTAATAAGTAGCAGAGGTGGGGCTCAAGTAGCTCAGTCCAGTTCAATCTTAAATTAAAATCTGTATTCTTTGCCACAGTGTCTCAAGGGAAAAGTACAAGAAATACAGCAGTGAAGTCCTTGGTGTAATTTCTGATCTAATTTCCTGGTTGCAGTCTTACTTATGAAAGACATAAAGCACATAATTTGGCTTACATGAATAAAGAAGATAGAATTAAAAATAGTTTCTATTTACACATTATTAAAATTAGTATATGGCTTTTGAAAAATAATATTATACTATTGAATAAATTACATTTTCCACTGCTTTTTCTCTAATTCCAGAATGAAAACTTGAGTAATATAGTTTTGTAACTTATCCAGTAATAATGGCTGTTTAAAATATGGCATTCTTTCTAAAATAGTAGGTATTAGTATAAAAATCATTAATGGTATAGAAGAAAGTTATTAATACTGGGTCTAGAATTTCAACCTGTTTCTCCACCCAGCTCCTCCAGGATGATTCTCAGCCTCCCTCAGAGACTTCCTTACAGTATTCACCCCATGCTTGGCAGTGGCCAAGAATAACACCAAGGTCTACAGTAACAGTGAAAGGGAGCTAAGGAGCAAAAGTTGGAAGAGGCACACCAGCCATGCAATGAACCCTTCCTTATTCGTGGATTTTTAAAGGTTGTTATGACTGTCTGTTCTGGATGGAGATATGCAAATTGGCAAAATCCTACCACAGTCCTAAATGTATTTAGTAGCTTAGATTTGGTGTTTCTTTTTCTATCCAGCCTTTTTTTTTTTTTTTCTTTTTTTGTCTCATCATATTATGGTTCAGGGATTCTTCATCTTTCCTATCACATAACTCCTCAGAATCCCCTTGCTTTGGGATTCATAGTTCATTCCCTCCCCTGAAGCCTCAATTGGATATACTCACCGCTGAACTGGTCACCATCTTAGAGGACAGAAGCTGAACTGCAGAAGGCATATTAGGCATTACTAAAGAGTTTTGCTTCTTTATGGGTGAAAACGGTCAATATTCTGCTTGTGACTTCTCATGTAACTTTATTTAACATGTTATTCACTTATAGTAAGCCAGTTAGGAAGGCTTTTTTTTTCCTCCATGTATCTCAACTACTTGGAATTATATTCAGTTTTTCCAGAGCTGCCGCTGAAGATAGGGAGCCTGACAAGATGCTTGACTAATTTAATCTATAACTTTGCTGAGTTAACAAAAGTTAAAGTTATTATATTTATTTGTGTTCCTATTTTTCTGACAGGGCTATTTCTGACATTTTCAAATGTCTGAGAGCGTCATTTATAATTAATGCTATTATATAGCATTCCATGTAAGGAGACAACATTAATCTTTTAGTAAAGAGACTTTTTACTTATTTTTGCTGCTCTGTGACTAAGAAGTAACTTAGAAATAACCTCAGAAAGTGTTAAATGTTTCCCTTTTTCTGCTGCTCATCTTCTTTGTCTCAGACATATCAATAAAAATGCTAATTCATCGAGCACTTATTTTATGCTGGCACATTGTTGAGCACAATGTTTATGCTATCTCATTCATATCTCTTCAACCCATTTTATAAACAAGGAAGCTGAAACTTAGAGACCTCAAGTTAATTTATGCAAGGTCACTGAGGTACTACAAATATCAGTCAAGATCCACACCTATGCTGTCTAATACCAGAATCCATTGCTGTGCTTATGCTGACTGCCTCCATTTATTACCCCCAACCCTAAGCTCTATGATCTATCTGCTGGACCCTCCACATACCTTAGCTCATTAAATCTCCGAATCAACCCAACAGAGTAAGCATCATATACCCATCCACAATGAAGTGGAGAGGGAGGGCAAATACCTTGCTCTGGGTACTTGATTCTCAGATCTCTAGCTTGCCCCCTATACCATAGTCTTCATACTGAGTACTGACTGCTTTTCAGAAGACCAATGAATGCGAGTGATTTTGGTGACACTGAAAGAAAGCTAAATTAGGAGTCATTTAAAAAATAGTTTTAAGCATATTCAACCCTGAAGTCTTCCCAAAATAATTATTCTAAATGTTTTGAACACCTAAAAATATACTTTCCAAGCCTAAGTTTATACAATAGTCTTAATTTTGCATGATACTGAATGCTGTTTCTAATGAAAAA